TGGGTATGCAGATGACGTTGCGGCTTTAATAGCTGCACGTAGCATTGAGCTTGCCCAGCTGAAACTAAATCGAGTCATGCGCACCATAAACGCATGGATGGCAGAACATGGTCTCTCGCTCGCTCTGAGCAAAACTGAGATTGTGATTCTGACTAAAAAGAGGATTGACACCATCGTGCCTTTGATGTTGGGGAACGTTGATGTCCAAACCACTCGTGCCGCAAAGTACCTTGGGGTCATGGTGGACAGCAAGCTCAGCTGGCGAGACCAGGTCACCCGTACGGCGGACAAGGCCGCTAAATTGGTTTCTTCCCTTAGTCGGTTAATGGCCAATGTCGGAGGTCCGCGGTGCAGCCACAGAAGGCTGTTGATGTCTGCGGTCCAGTCCGTGCCCGGGTATTTTGGGTATTTATGAAATCAATTGAAATTCATTTTATCCACCCCTAAATATGTTATTGTTATCATTACATGATAAATTAGGATAGTCTATAACACCTTTTACAGTAACTTGAAGCTTTGCTAGTACCTTTTATTTAAAGATTTAGCACTTTTTTTATGAAATCAAGACAACACCTCATCAAAAAATAGTGAACCTAAACCTACTTCTACTGTTATTAAATTATGATAGTTAACAAAATTTGTATTTTGTTAAATGGCTTGGAAGGCTAGACAGACCCAAGGCCTGATTGATATAGGCAGAATGGCAGAATACTGAAAGTACAGTAGACTCCCTCTTATCCAGACTCCTCGGGACCGAGGCTAGTCCAGATAACGGTTTTTCTGGTTAAACCGACGTTCCCAAAAACTTGTTAAAACGGAAACCGTGTACCGGTACTGTCCTATTCGACTTTAATTTAGGAGATCATTGTATTTAGATACGTGATCACTGGTCTCAAATCTTTCCCACGAGAACAGTCGTTTCAGTACCGCTCACTTCTTGCCAATCTAGTCAGGTTAAACCAATGGGCTGGTAAAAATTGTCCAGTTAAAAGGTGTCTGGATAAGAGGGAGTCTACATTAAACTCTTCTGTGTTACCGCTTAGTTGGGAACAATAATATATTTGGATAAACCTACTAAAAAATTTATCTCCTGTTTTTTGGTCTAACTTTGATATATTTTTGAAAGATTTATTGTGCTATAGATTCAAATTTGTTGTATCACAAGTTTATGAAATTAGTTTTATTTTTATTTTGATACCAACAAAAGATCTAGAACAAAAATATTATTAAATCCTGCCATCCTACAGTTTGAATTTTAATTATTTTCTTAAGTTGTTTACACATGGGCCACTACTAGGTTAAATTTTCCTGTCTTTCTAAATAATAATTTTTATTTTACAAATTATTTTTCTTCACTTTAAATAAAATAAATTCATCTATCTATCATAGAAATTAAAAAATCATAAGTAGTCAGGACCAGTGCAACCATGTGACAAGGGTATTTATGCCGATTATGCTTTATGCTCAGACCTGGGTATTTATGGTGATCATACCGAGAAGTAAAATGCTAGTAGTGACCATATTAAATTTTGTTTAACACATTTTATTATCATTTTGCTATCTTTACAAGGTAATAATTGCAAAAAAACATCTCAATCTTCTCTAACTTGAATACAAATGATAAATACCCAGTTTTTGGGTATTTACCCGGGCCTGGGATAAATACCCAGGTAAATACCCAATTTATATTTACCTACCCACTGGGTATTTACCCGGCCCACATCACTACGTGGAACACACGCATTGGGAAAGGCCCCGCCTAGAGGCTCAACAGTTCGTAGGACTGCTGTCGGTGGACACGGTCATACCGATGATGATGGAGGGTCAGGACAATTGGACCTGTGTGTCACTTTACATCCAGGGTGTTCTCCGCGCCAAGAAGCTTGACCTTGACCGGGATGCGGTGTAGGTAAAAAAAATAAATAATGCCAGAAACGGTGCGAGCCCTGTGGGCTTAGGCCACGTGTTGGCCTGACTTGAAGTAATGTGACAAACAATTCCAGGTCTGTGTCCAACAGAGTAGAGGGGGTTTTTTTAGTGAGTAGTCTGTGATAAACTCAGGAGTCTCACACTACAGGCTGGCTACCTGTGTGCGTAAAAGCATTTTCCCTCCTCACCCTAAAAAAAAAAATATATCATAGCTTAAACGCCACAGAATAGTGTTAGTCAACTTCAAGGATTTCAAATTTCATTTGTCAAATGTTTACTTGAGTGAATACTTTACCCACCCTACTGTTAAGTGTTTAAAAAACTGACTTCAAAGTAATGCCTGACCAGAAAAATCTCAAAAATCCACTAAATACATACCATATACATTTTTTAGATCCTCGAGATGTTTGATTCTGGTTACGTTAATTTTCCAATCACAAAATATATGTCTTTTTTTTAATTTAAAATTGTTGTTGAGTTTATAAAATGTTTCAGTAAACAATTCCAGTATCAGGAATAAAATTCAACTTAAAACTCATCATTTACAGGCTAAGAAAAATTCAAAATCCAAGCAAGGTATGTAAAAGAGTATACATATCTATCTTTACAGATTAGTTTTTACGGTATGAAAAAAATCCATAAATAAAGTTAAATATTAAAAAATAGTTTATAGTTGAAATAAGATCCAGTAAAAATCATAACCAAATACAATACCTACTACTGGATTCTCAAACCACCTTTTACCACAAGTTTAGTAAGTTTTGGTTCCATGGAGACTAAAAACTCAACTATTTCTGTCTCCTAGAAACAAAATCATTTTATTTTGAACATTTAACAGCAACAGATCAACTTTACAATGTTCAACGTAAAATGCATAGTTTGTGGTATAGGCGCTGTATCGACTTGGTGGCTCGCCACCCGGAATCCTCCCCCAACACCACCACCACCAATAAGCGAGAAGGAGTTGAGGTTGTGGGTCCCGATCTGGACTCAGTGAAGAAGAAAAGACTCAGTCCGGGGAATAGAAGAGAAAGGCCCTGGACTGGTGATGTGGAATGCACTTGGGAAAATTATATTGCTGATCAGGACTTAAAGGAAGATAAAGGAAATTATTAAACAAAATCAACACTTGGGAGGTACAACAAAGGTGCTCTGAAGGCAGAATAATCTATGAAGAATTTATCATCAAAACTTTTGTGTGGTGCTTTGCTGAAGGAAACATGATAACTATTTACTCATTGCACTGTCAGTTTGTAACCAATGCTTCTCAACTTGCAAAAATAAAAAAATCCCATACCCAAACTGAATTTATGAGTTTTTATAAGCTAGTTCTTAAACTTAAGAAAGTTATTTTATAACGGGGGAAATTAAAAAAAATAGAATAACAAGGAAATGTTCAAACGATTAAAAATGACTAGAATCGAATGTAAAATTAACTTGCTAATGTAGTCTTCAGTGTATTGTAATTTGTTATTCTATTTAATACATAGTCCACTTCTAAAAGTTAAGAGGTACCAATTGAGATAAAGTACTATGGAAATAGCCTTTTGGAAAAAACAATCTGTGGGTGTTAGAGAAATGTAATAAACACAAATTAGTTTTGCGAAAACCCCATAAAACCAAATTAAGCATTCAACCAAAGGTGTTACAAGTAAAGCTGATGGTGGATTATTAAAAAATACATACCTCGATGTTCTTCAGTACATTTGGTATCAGAGTCTAGAATGTTCGTACTCACTGAACTATTTCTTCACACTACTTAAAGCACTTGTAAGACCGGGGTATAATAAGAAGGCACATTGTAATGAACTGAATACCGCCGGTTGACATTAAATGAGTGATGGAGCGTTACATAGTGAAGCCGGTGTAGGTAGCGGACAACTCAGGCCAAGGAGAAGCATCATACGGGACAGGTATAGGACGCCATCCGTGATTGGTTAATGTTCAACCAACGGTATTAATTTATTCAAGTGAACATCACTGTTGCCAATACAAATGTGTAAATCAATATGCATATACTACAGAGTCGTCTTCAAAAATATCTGTTTGGTCAATAATCTGATATTTCATGTCCAGTTTCTGAAAATAGAATAAATACAAGACAGATTGTTAAACACTATAGCATAGACTAATTTAGGCTCAACACGCCCATCCAGCGGTACCTGTGGCTCAGCACGCCCATGTGGGGGGTGCCGGGGGCTCAACACGCCCGTCTGACGGTGCCGGGGTTCAACACGCCTATCCAGCGGTACCCGTGGCTCAACACGCCCATCAGGTATAACCCGCGGGTTCAACACGCCCACACTCATTGCTCTGTGGGATTTGAACGTTATTTAAGGCAACTAGAGGACACGTGTCTAATCTTGTTGTGAAGGTTGTATGGACAGATTTACTCTAATTTAGGTACTTTGATCACCATTTTTTTAGCCAATCGATATAAACGCATGATAAACACAAGAGCATTGGTTTTCAGAGTGAGATAGTTTTCAGTTTCGATAACTGGAATGGAGTGAGCATTAGTTTTCAGTTTCAATAACTGGAGTGGAGTGATTGATTACATTATCTTTGAGTAGATTCTTTTTAAGTCATCGGAAATTATGATAAACTTTACAATTGCTTGAATTTGAGCAACAGGTAGTAACCAGGATTATTTTCTTAGAGACCGTTGTATTTAACCACAACGGGCTCTGTTGCTAGTCATAAATAAATACAAAGCATAATCTTTACACAGGCTTTACTAATAATTTTTTTAAGGAACTTGATTTTATATTTCACACAAAAATTAATATAAAGTAATTTATGTATTCTAGCTAGTCCACTTATTCACAGTTTTTTGCATGACTGAAAAACCAGCTTGTGTATGTTTACAGACATTTCATAACCCGAACGGTGAGCACTTTATCCAAGAACTGCATCTGGGGAAGATCATAGTTTTTCATAACTACCCCCTGAATAGGAAAATGGGCTTGACAAATTGAGCCTGACAGTTGTTCTCCTTTCTGTCTCTTTTGCTATAGCTATCTTTTTGTTTGGCTTATCACTTGTGCAAGGTACTGAATAAATTGAATAAATACAACATAACACATTTTAATCTCTAATTGTTCACAATTCAATATTCCTGAGTCTAGGTGGTCAAACACATTTCTCATCTTATTTTCACCTCTTTACCATCCCGTTCTCTTTTTGTTTCATAAACCCTGAAAAAAACCCATTTATTAAAAAATTATAAATTCTAACAATATACTTAATTAAGTCTACCAGAATATGGGCTTTAAGATAAGTATGGAAGATGGTTAAATCAGTGCTCTCTAATAATCTGACCCTTTTGGTTTTCTTTTCTGGTTTTTTGATAGTTTTGTTCCTTACTCCTGACTAAATATCATTCCATGCAGCTAAATAATTATAACTATATAATTAGATTTAAAAGACATTCAGTTTTTTCCTAATATTATAAAACCTTTAAACCATTTGGTACACGACTAACCGAAATATTAAATAAGTACCAGGTTTTATTTAAGGATTTTTTGTTACATCTATTAAATTTTGTATATCATATCGTAGACAGCATATTTGGACGATATATGAACCAAACAATCAATGGTATGAAATGATATCACATCATGCTAGATCATATAGCACTGTTTCTCATAACTTCTAGGAAGGCTTTAACTCTTCAGGCTTAAAATTACTCAAAATGTGAAATTTAATTTTTATTTACAAATTCAATCAGGACAAATATCTTTTAGGTCAATAGTTTTGGAACTCAAGTGTTGAAAGTGTGGCTCTACACTCAATGAGAACAAGCAAAAAATATATATTTTGTGGAATGAATGCATTCTCTGGTACTCATTCAGTATGCTCCTATTGCCCCTTGATTCACTAGGTTACCTGTTCACAAGCCTTGTAATGTAGGATACAAATCAAAGGTTTAATATGGTAAATTTACTATATTAAGGTTTAATATATTTATTTATTAAGCCAAATTAAGTTACTAATGGCTGTTGTTATTTTGCTAGGTACGGTACTCTTACATTACTAAACAATTGAAATTTTGGTACAGTAATAAAAAAAAAAAAAACATTGTGTTTATACCTAATAACTCCACTTTTTAACTCCAACAATCAATTATGACTGGTTACAAGTTTACAATTTTATATTTTACCTGGGCAGTACAACTTCTCTAACAGTTTTCCTAAACCCATGGTCTGTGGGACATGTCAAGTCATCCACTAGAGTCACAACCCTCTTCTCACTTTGAAACTTCAATCCTGACCTGGAAGCATACACCAAGTTTTAGTTTTAAGGTTGAAACCCTACATGAGTACCTATCTAACTCTTTCAGTGCCAGCTTTTTGCAAGGTAGATAGTATTGATTTTTTAACTGAAGATAATTTATTAACCATGACACAATAGATACATAAATAAATATAGACATACCACAAACAAAAGAACCCTGGGCCATTTCGAGCCGAGCAAGTTTGAAGGGTACGCCACACCTACCGGCGCGAACCACGTGATCTTTTTGTTTCTGCGCAGGTTGTTTTGTTTTTGGGATGTCTATAGTCATACAGGTTTTAGAACCTCAATTAGCTGTACTCAGGGTACCCCTGACTGAAGATAACAGAGACGTACAGACAGAGACAGCTGTGCAGCTGTAAGAAAGAAAAATCTGAGCTTGCTATGGGTATACAAACATTTTGTATGGGTGGAGCGTATGTGGATTTGGGCTGTGTTTCTTTCTGAAAACAGTGTAGCAAGCATTGATCATCTGCGGAAAACCATATTCAACAGCAAAAGAGAGTACCTACTTTTCCTGCATCCCAACTCCCAACTATACTAAATAAATACCATTACTTTGTCATATTAGCTGGCTATTTAAGTAGGAGGGTAACAACACAGGTAAAGTACCCCAAATAATTGTTTTTACCCATGGTTGGTCAATGGTAAAAATTTCCACCCGGCCAACGGTTGGCCCAACCAACATTTTCCCAACATAGGACCAACCATCCCCCTACATAAAAACACAAAATAATAAAGATTTTGTAAATCGGTTTTTGGTAGCTTCAAGGACTTCGGCCCAAGGCAGCGATGCATTCGGATTCGGATCCTGGCCACTGCTGAAAAAATTTTATCAGTACAGTACACCTACTGTACTGGCTCACCCCTTGCTTCCCTGGATACATTTCACGCTTGGCCTATTGTTATATTATGATTAATTATTCTTTTCCCTTAAACTGTTCAACTATAAAAATTTGCTCGAAAAATTTAATAAAAGAAATTATTTGCATGCTATTAGACAATATATGTTAAGAGTATTGCAACTATCACAACATGACTACATTTATTATAGATCTAATTTTCTTCGAAATCGTCACATATTCTGCTGCCATAGCATTTATTTTCTTACAGTATTAAATAAATCAATTATTGTTAAAATGTGTTTTAGAATGTTTTATACTTAAATCCAACAAAGGTCCAACGATTCTTTCCTTTGAGGGCCAACAATTACAAGTTCCCGTTGGGCCAACATTGGCAAGGCGTTAAAATTTCCACCCACAATTTCTCAACTGTGCCGACCATTTCCCAATATTGGTGCTACCGAGGCAAAGATTTCAAAATCGTTTGAATAGATTGGAAATTTGGTTTGAGTTTAGTCACAGAAACGCTAATCATATTTGACAAGTAATGAAAGCGTTGACTATAGATATAACCAGACATTTCATTCCCATGTTAAATTTGTGGCCAGTTTAGAAAAAAATGTTCGATTGAGCCATTTCAAAAATTGCTGATGTTAACAACTACTGATTTCTATAAAATATGCAAAATTAATGACCAAGCCAAATCGTGAATAACAATCCTTTCCTTTCACATTCACAAATGAAACGTTTAGAATAAATTTTAACAGACAATTTTATTTTACACAACACCTACCTGTCTTCTTTTGGCTGAGGGGGTGGGTCGTTCCAGTACTGTACTTCCCCTGAGCCAGTAAATATATACACCAAGTTGGTCAATACTAACACTGCTGCCACTATCAGAAACACCATGCGCCACTGCTCCATCGTGTTCTGGCAAAAAAAAATATAGGCTATCTAAAATTTCTGGGAAAGACTACAAATAAAAATAGAATACATTTTATTCTAGCAGACAGCTTGGTAATTTTTTCAATAGATCTAAAAGTGTTTAATTACTGTGGGCGAATAAAATCTTGTATACAGTGTTAGCAAAACAGGAGTGCCGATGGAGACCAGGTCAAGTCCCTTCACACGCACGCACCCCCACAGGTCTTCATCGGCACTCCCGTTTTGTTAACACTGTGTAGTGGGTAAAAATTAAAAATGTCTTATCTAGCCATTTCAATCATGATGAAGACTTTTTTTGTAAACAGACTTATTTAAATGGGATCTAACCCCCAAAAAACACCAAAAATTTACACTAACACAAAAGTTTAATTTTTCACTGTCACCTACAACATTTTTATTTTTAACTAAGGAAGGTTCTCTTGAGCACAGACAATCAAGAAATACTTCATATGTTTGTCTCACATTGGTAAAGGATCTCTTCAACTATTATAATTTGTGTATATAGTTTAGTTTTTATGCCAGATTGGACTCACTCCTACTCAGATAAATCTGCTCTCCTAACAAAACTCCTAAGGCCCTTGTACCCACTGTGCTACATTCTTAACGACATTTGAATAGTACTACTTCTCATTTAGAACTTTATATGGTTGTAATGATGTCTATCCAATAACCATGTTTTTTATTTACATCAGGTATGAGCAAGCCAGCAAGGTAGGGTGTGACGATGCCGGACAACGCACCAATACCGTTCACAAGTGCCATGACAGTACCAGCGTAGTTGGGAGAGAGATCCAGACAGTTCACCTTGAGGCTGGGGTAGAAGAAGCCCATAAGTCCCATCCCAATCACCAGACACCAAGTGACTATCTGCTTGTCACACTCGGCCATGGAGGCAGCTACTATACCGAGAGCAGGGCCCAATGAAGCTGTGGGACGTTTACGAATAGGGTAAATTAGATTTAGAAGTGTAAACTTGATTCACAAAAAGTATATAGAAACAGTGTAAAGATTCTTATTTCTCGAACTAAAGTTATATTACCATTTTTAAGAAAGAGATCTTGGATTAGAAGAAAAAAGGTCTATTAACTTGATAGCATACAAAACGTAAAAAACAGTTAATTTGATATTTGACCCCTTCAAGGGGGCTCTTTAGAAGGGTTGTAGAATAGAAATCATTTGTTTTACCATAGACAAAAATAATTAAATATAGACTGTCAGCCGTGCTGCGGTTAACATGGTTACCATTGGTTCTGGCGCACACCGCTGGGAGCACCGTGTAGTTACGTAGCGCGTACACCGTAACTACATGGCGCTCCCAGCGGTGTGCGTCAGAACCTATGGTAACCGCAGCACAGTTGACGGTCTATATTTAATTCTTTTTGTCTATGGTTTTACTGACTTTGTTAGGGTGTATTCCATATTCTTTTCTTAATGTTTATTTCAGGTTTAGTAGCCTTTCTGAGCTAAACCATCCCTACTGCATGCTAGAGCCACTTCAATACCCACCAGTTTGTCATCTAAATTAATAATGTTTAAGAAATTTAACAAAAAATCCAGCTTAAGACCAGACCATCAGTCATACTTTGACCAGTGCAAACCAAACTAAAAGGTTAACTCAGTACCAGGTGGAAAGAGAAATTTTCTCTTAACTAGGTGAAACCCGTCGAAATCGACGGTTAGGGGCCTCCTCGTTTATATGGTCGTGTGGTTCTGCACTTGTATTATTTTGTATTGTAATACACAATCGATGATTTTTCCAATGATTGAAAGCATGTATGACAATAATCTCATGAACCTGTCTGATGATCTGTCTAGAATAATATGATAAAATATAGGGAAAATGTGTGAAAAAGGCAGACACCAACCCGTAAAATAGATATAAGATAGTTCAATAAGAAATAATTGTAAGAGATATTGTGATAAAAGGATTTCCCACTGATTTGGTAATGGAACTTTACATTGCAACACATGCCATGATACAGAAAAAAATCCAGTTTAAAATCAGAAAATAACATTGAAAATACTTCTTTTGGACTATTCAGTAACTCCCAATAAATGTGTGTTGTTTAAAATACAATTTTAACATTTACAGCTGTTTTATTAAAAAGTATTATCCACATGACCAAAATGTAAACAAATCTGTGAAGGGATCTTTAAAGGCTTCTGGGACAGAGACCTAATCGAATTTACTTCGTTTTTCTTTTGATAACTCATCTACAGACTAAGACCTTTCTTTGGACACCTCTACCAAGTTTCTACGTCCAGCCGTTCTCCCAAATTAGTGGAGACAAAGTTTCCAATTAAATATTTAGATTCCCCCATGTTAATCTTATGGAAAAAAATTCAACTTTGATGGAAGATCCTGCTCAAACTAATAAAGCTATCAAAAAACTAAAAACACTTTGCAAAACTACAGATCAGGGCAATCTTTTTGACACTTTAATCATCAAAATCGGTCCAAAAATGAGGGAGGAGTTCTGTTTACAAAAATCGGCTTAGCGTATTATATATATAGAAGATGGTGACAGTAGAAACATTGACTATTTGATACTCAAGTAGACATATCCCATCTATAGCAGAGGAAGACTCTATGTCCCATTTTCAATAAGATATAGAACGTATAGTTCGATAAATTGCTCACATAGTAAACTACTGTCAAAATGCTAATTTCTCTGCTGGCAATACATACATAGGGAACTGTACTTTAAAAACTAATTTGAAATTATAGAAACTGTATAGTAATTTGATTTTTTTTGGAACTTGGTAAAAAAGTTTGTCGTATAAAACAGAAATTAGTGATTGCCAACATCATCCCACTCTGAGGGTGGTATTATTGAACTACTATATTTGTTTACTTTAATTTGGGAATGGGATGTCTACTACTCTCCATAGTCAAGTATTTCACTGAGTCACGGTACGTCCAGAGTGCACGCCGATTCAGATTTTCGGTGCTTGGTTAATCTGAGTCAGATATTTTGTTGGTGGCCACAGTGGAAGTAGGAAATACGCCGCCGGTACTGACTCGGTTAGCAAAGAAACAAGTCAGTCATTGTTATGAAATTAGAAATTGTGGGATGAGGAATAACGTGTTAAATAAATTATAGCGTCTGAAACTGTTGTGAAGTAACAGCCAGTGAAAAATGGTGTTTAATGTTCATGATATTATATATCTCTTTTCCTATAGATAGAAATGATATAGTTTCTTTCTATATTGCGATGAGTGAAACCACCAAAACGTATATTAAAATTGGATAATGTGTTGTAAGAAACTGGTGTCACCTCCGTAAACAAAAAAATCCTGAAGACCGTTTAGTGGTAACCATAAAAGTAAGAATGAAAAAAATAAATATTTTACTATAAAAACATAATTTATTTAACTAAATAGTACAAGCAAAACCTGAATCGGAATCTGAAACCAGAATGAAGAATTCATTTTGGTAAGCAGGTGCCTGCGTGCGGGCTCAGAAACGGGCAGCCACTACGGCCACTTCCATTTGAATGCATGTGCCATTCCTGCTGCCAAAAATCTGAATCTGAATAGGCGTGCACTCTGGACGTATCGTTACGTTTTAAGTCAAAATTATTATTTATATATTAATTTCCATCACCTACCTACTGTTGTAAACAGCTTTCTTGAAACGGTCACAGAAGTAACTTGCTTGACTAACAGAAAGTCTACCAGAGTGCCTGCAAAGACAGCAGTAAACACCATGGCTAAGTATGGTGCTGCAGACCTCAGCCCGGTCTGAAATGGAGCAACTAAGATTAATCTGCTTTTGACACATATTTTACGTCAAATACATTAAAATGTACATTTTTCTCATTTGCTTTTTTCAGTGTGGGAAGGCTGACCATTTTCACAGAAAATACAGGTCGCTTACCAATATATAGGTTCTTTGGAAAAAACTGAGTGGGAACGCTGTTCCCGCACCACTACACCACTGTTGATTAATTTGAAGGCATTATTTTCTCTCCAAATATGAGAACTTTTGCTGTAATTGTGGGGAATTTATGTTAATTTGAAAGCAATGTGGACTGTATTATAGTTATTTTGAAATTGGATACACTAACCTTTTCTTATTAAACTGATGCGTAGACTGGGGGCCCCCTTTGATGAATCCTGAAATGCTATAATGTTGATAAGTTCACTTTTTCACACTATATGATGTTAAAAAACACTTCAATTGTCTTTATAATAAGTTATAAGCCAGCGGTAAATATTTATGTTGGTAAAGAGGTTTATGGTATTTGAAAATGTAGGAGAAAAGGCATGTTAAGTCCTCATAGCAACAGGACTTGCCCAAGAGTGTGCCACTACTCTACTGAAGGAAGGAGTTGGTCATGTGATACATATCAGTGACCAATCAGAGAGCTAGTCTTGAAACCATTGGGGTTTGAAGATACTGATGCACTCTATGAGGAAAACATTTAACTATTTGAAATGGTATTTAAATGGAGATTGTGGTGAAATCAGTTACATATTATTAGAGTGCATTAAAATTAAAAATTAATATAAGAATACTTAGAACAAAACAGTATATATATTTGACATACCGGCCCCCTTGAACCGATCCGGTTCAACAGAAAAACAAGAACCATGCATGATTGAAATATGAGGAATAAAAATAAGGAAGGGGGTTGGTAGCCAGAGTTATGTTAGGTTAGTTTATAGGAAGGCGGGAAACCTTAACTGCAGGTCGTGTTAAGGTTTTTGTAGACGTCTTGATTTGAACGACTCTTACAGTGCCATCTTGACCAGGAGAGGCTGAGATGATTCGACCAAGCATCCAAGCAAGAGGTGGAGTATTGTCTTCATGAATGATTACTAAGTCTCCGATCTTGAGGTTTTCTTCTGGAGTAATCCACTTAGATCGTTCTTGGAGGGTCTGCAGATACTCTCTATGCCATCTGTTCCATATGTGTTGAGCAAATGCGTGCACAAGTTTCCACCGTTTCAGGCGATTTACAGAGATATCCGTGAGATGAGGTTCTATTAGAGACGTCAGAGGTCCTCCTGTCAGGAAGTGTCCTGGAGTTAATGCTTCAAGGTCAGATGGGTCTGCAGAGAGTGGTGTAATAGGCCTTGAATTTAACATTGACTCAACACGAGCAATCAGTGTTAGAAACTCTTCATAGGTTAGGATTTGTGTACCTATGACTCTCTTCAAGTGGTATTTGGCACTTTTTATTGCCCGCTCCCACAAGCCTCCTTGGTGTGGAGCTCGAGGTGGTATGAAATGGAAAGTTATTTTGTTGTTCTGGGCAAACCGTTGTGTTTCAGGTTTTATCATTAGGTCTTGGAAGCATTTTTTAAGCGTTGAGGCTGTTCCAATGAAATTGGTGGCACAATCTGAATATAAATCTGATATAGTGCCTCGTCTGGCAGTAAACCTAGTTAAGGAAGCAATGAATGCATCTGCTGAAAGATCTGTGACCATCTCCAAATGTACAGCCTTTGTGGCAAAGCATATAAATAAACAGAGATAGACTTTAATTGGCTGCAGTCGACGTAAGATGTGAACCTTTACTGTAAAAGGTCCAGCATAATCCATAGCGGAAACATTGAAACAACGAGTAGCCGTAACACGTCCAGCAGGTAAGTCGCCCATTAAAGGTGCTGTCATTTTAGGCTTAGCTTTGAAACATCGAATACATTTAAATATTCTGGAGCGTATAACACTTCTCTGAGACAATATCCAGTAGTTTTGCATTAACATTGCTTGAAGGAGTTGTGGTCCTGAATGTAGATATATTTTATGAAAGAAATCAATCAGCAGGTGGACTACAAAATGGTTCTTGGGAAGCAAAATGGGATGTTTTGCACTGTACTTAAGTGGTGAATTTTTCAGTCTTTCACCAACTCGTATGATTCCTTCTTCATCTAAGAAAGGTGCAAGCCGTTGTATTTGAGTAGAACATGTTTTCTTAGCTTGAAGCGATTTGATCTCATTTGCAAAGCATTCCTTTTGCACACACCAACATATGCGATTTGTTGCACTTTCAAATTCCTGTTTGGTTAAATGAGTGGTTATTTTTGCCTTTAGCTTTAGACATTTAATAAAACGAAGAACATAAGCCATAACGTTTACAAGTTTAGACCATGAGGAATATTTACTTAAAAAATGTAGTTTAGAGTCATCGGTTGATGTTATGAGGTTGAATGTCTCTGATTTCAGTTCATTAAGAGATTCTTCAGGATCTGGGGAAAGTTTAGTTTGTGGCCATGTAATTGAGTCCCATTTAAGCCACTTAGGTCCTGACTACCAGAGCTCATGATTCATTAAAGCGGATGGTGTTAGGCCACGAGAGGCGCAATCAGCGGGGTTCTCTGCTGAGGAAACGTGTCTCCATATGCATGAAGGAGTAAGCTCTTGTATCTGAGCTACTCTATTTGCTACAAATAGTTTTAGCTTGTAAGATGGGGTGTGGATCCATGACAGAGCAATCATAGAATCTGACCACGCATTGATAGCTGTAATATGGTATTGTTTATCAAACTTATTGATGCAATAGTGAAGCAACTGTACCGATTTTGTTGTAAAAAGGCAACAAATCAATACAGGGTAACGCGAAGAACAGTCAGCTGGTTTAAACAATAGATCAGTATAGACCAGAATGCACCACGCACTAAAGTAGGAGAGGGGATAAGGTCTAGCCGGATGGTCACTTGCTTCCAGCAGTACCAGTTCCTATCCAAATCTCATCGTAGCTAGTTCGGTAAAATTGTTTTTCGTTCGTGGAAATTAAATTCATTTCGCGGCGTTTGGTCGGGCAATCTTATTTTTCCTTAAAATCGTACAGCCTATATCCCTAAGGGATATAATTGCCCCGCGATTGGAAATTAGTATCAGTGTCATTGTCAGAAAGTGAAAAAGTTCGTTACCGGCCAACGCAGTTCCGCCATTTGAAAATTACACGTTCGTTTCACGAGTTCAATTGATCGCGTCTTGTAGAATACCGGCTAGTTACATTTCCCAGTCCCTTCCCCTTTATTTGTGTCATATTTGTGGACGTCCAAACTGTAAGTAATTTGTGTTATTTATTTGTTAATTTAAGATTTCAGTGAGTCGCACTTTTGAAAATTTTTCCTGTCTTGTTTTGTCATTTCATGTAGAGTAAGCACATGTTCACAGGTTCAAATTCAAATCACTGATTTTCACATCCATTCATATTGTAGCAATCCGCTTTATTAATTAGATTGTAACAATCCTATAGTATTAAGAATAAATAGGTAAAAATGTTTTTATAGGGCAATTCAGAGTTATTTAATAAGATTTTTATAGTGTTGGAATTTTACACAGAGTCATTGTTAATTTTCATTGTTGAGCAAATGGTACAATTCTTTTAAAGAGTGTCACAGTCAGTATCTTTTGGGGGAAACAAATTATTATCAGAGAAGGGAGCAGGTAGCTGGTTCGATTGATACGGAAGTGTTGTTGGAAGTTGTGCCAGTTTGAACATAGATGAACCACCAAAGTGCCAAATTAGCTATAAAATAATAAAGCAACATTCTGATAAACATTACTACGATTGAATACAATATTGTTCAATCAGTTGGACTGCGAGACGACCTTCGTTTTTAATCGTTGGCCAACGAAAGGATTTGCTTGGTACAGGTCATCTCAACCATTAGATTAAATACCACTCTTCCATTGATACTTTCGAGATCGGTGTGAAACCGCACCATACCTCCCCTTTGATAAATCCATTCAACAGTTTCAATAAATTTCCAACTGATTGTGTATCTCTAGGTCATTTTTACTTGAAAGAATGCAACAACGACTGTAAACTGAAATAAGTGTATTATTAAATTCTGTGCAATAAACTCCAATTGTTACTCACTTTTAGTTCTCAATAACCTTGGTATTTTAGCATATGCAATAGTATTTGATAAACAAAAGGTAATTCAGTAAATCATAAGCCACTACAAAAGATTCACCTTTTAAGTGCAAAACTAGTCACTAGTGTAGTAGTGAGCAAGTAAATTCAGTGTAGAATTAAGACTGGTAAATTGATCTCATTAAAGGTATTACTTTATTGGAAGAACTACAAACAGTGCCAGGGGCGTCCCCTAAGGACCTTTGGGAAATATTTATATTTTGCAGGGTCCACTCATATTTTTCAATAACATCAAGCTTCCACTGCCAAAAAGCTCTGTCTGATATTTTTATTTTCTAGAGTTCTTCCAACCTAGGGGCAACCAACATTTGTAAAGAATTCATTAAAGAGCATTGCAAGGAGTAAATATATTTAAATATAATATTTAAATATATGAGAGTCAAAGTCTTTTCTTTTTTTTTCTTTACAAATAAACTTTTCTTTTTTTTCTTTACAAATAAAGAAAAAAAAAACCACGCTCTGCTACCATTTATTTGTAAAGAAAAAAAAGAAAAGTCTTTGACTCTCATATATTTAAATATTATATTTAAATATATTTACTCCTTGCAATGCTCTTTAATGAATTCTTTACAAATGTTGGTTGCCCCTAGGTTGGAAGAACTCTAGAAAATAAAAATATCAGACAGAGCTTTTTGGCAGTGGAAGCTTGATGTTATTGAAAAATATGAGTGGACCCTGCAAAATATAAATATTTCCCAAAGGTCCTTAGGGGACGCCCCTGGCACTGTTTGTAGTTCTTCCAATAAAGTAATACCTTTAATGAGATCAATTTACCAGTCTTAATTCTACACTGAATTTACTTGCTCACTACTACACTAGTGACTAGTGTTGCACTTAAAAGGTGAA